TCTGTCACTGCGGCACGAAATTATCTCAGGAGCAAATGGCGATCGAAGCTGAACGGATGCACAGCCAAGCGGTTGAAAGGGCCGGGGAATTGTCGTTGCAATTGAAGTTGGCAAAAGAGGAATTGTTGAAAGCTCAACAGGAACTTTATAAAGGTGAGAAATGACGGCGGTGGGGATCGAACCGGGGACCTTTGGATTGCTGGTAGAGCGAGAGAACGAGCGGACCAAAATGGGAGAAATTTCGGGACTGTTAAGCGCGATAAAGAATGTGAAGGCCAGGATTGCCAAGGTTGATGCAGAGCGTCAGCGACAACAGGTCTGTCGGGAAGCTGTTTTGTATTTTTCCGAGTGATTTTTATAAGTATAATTTTTTTCCTAGAGTTGTTGTATGTGGTGTTAGTATGAAATTATTAAATTTCTTTTACGTTTGTAAAAATCACGTAAAATTATTCGATTTTTTTCGCGATTTGCGAGTTGTGGTACTCACTGATGGTTTTCAAAATAGAAAATATATTTTAATCGCATTATTGTTACCGTAAATTGGTTTAATAAAAGAAGTGATCGCATTTTCAGGAGCTCCTTTATAACGCAGATTTCGAATGTCAACTGATGGAAAGGAAAGTGGCGCGAATCAATGGGGAAAGGAGTGTTGAGGAGAAAGAGGAATTAAATAGGAAAATCAAAGAAAGTGAAGCGCAGTTGGAGGAGCAGCAGGTGATAGGTTTTGAAACACAAGTGCATGAATTTGAAGTTTGCCGAATGTGTATGAGCTTAGTAGAGATGGAGCGCTTTATATAGTATTTTATGAAGAATTTAACGTATGCAATATTGGAGTTTAATACTCCTGATGTCTCGCGTGGTAGTTCACAGTTGGGGAGTTGGAGCTGAAATAGTCTCCGTTGGTATAACGCGCGTAGTGGGGAAGGCGATCGGAATTGCATTGGTGTCGTGTTGTTGATAATGGAGTTTTACGCGTTTCACGTGAAGTGGCGTAATACTCTGTGAAAAACCCGATATTCGCGC